GAGAGAGATTATATTTTGTGGTCTTCTGTTGATGTGGTCTCTGTGACACAAAGCAGCCAGAAATCATCAACGATAAAAGAATATAAGATAAATAATAAAAACACAATGGATAAGAGGTGTTTAAATCTATAACTGCTCGTTCAATTGCAGGCACGGCCTCATCTAGTTAGTCTGGGCACAAAGTGGATCAGTAACAGCTTCTGACACTGTCGATTTACCCACTGGTGCCGCCAGCCACCATTCGTTTGGGATTCAACATCAATTAAAAGAAACATTTCTTCCCCAAGAACTGAAAATAAGACACATTTTTCCACCTAGTGTACTCAGCTTACCCTCATTGCTGTTGTGCAGCTACATACTGTAAGAAAAGTCTTCACAGAAATGTGCTCCGTGCCCGTTTTAAACTTACAGGGGCTCACTAACTACTCACGCTTTCAATCTTTTCTTGATTTGAAAAATGCAAACAAAACCACACGACTGAAAGTGCTCCCGAGTCCGTCGATTGAAACCGCTTTGTGACGCACACCAGCTTCCCTTCCAGCAGCTTCGCCGCGCGGCGATGCTGAGGGCCTGCAGCGTGCACGCAGGCCTCCTCCCGGCGGGGGAGAGGCGATTGCCTTGGCTGCCGTCAGGCAGCACGCCGAGAGCTTCCTCTCCCTGACCCCAGCCCGCACAGCGCTGCCAGGCCCGGGGCCGACTTCAGGAAGCGGAACGGAGCCCAGTGCGGGTCGAGCCAGAACCCCGCAGCGCTCCAGACCGCTGTGACCCGAGCAGGACCTGAACCCGGGTCTCTCGGCGTGCCGCGCTGACAGACCACTATATTCAGACCTCTGGAGAAACCCCCACCTTGCACTTTAAAACAGCTGACTGCATACTGAACAATGCGTGACATACCTCTCAAGATGCCCAGATGGCAAACATTTACATAGCAAAACTGGAAGCTATTAGAAAGTAAACACACAAAGAAACATGAACTATACATAAATGGATATTATTTGGTGGCAGTGTAGTTCCACAGGGTTTAGCGCTGCTGCCCCACAGTTCTGGGTCCTGGTCCTGGGTCCACATGAGGAATCGTGGCAGTGTGAGTGCACCTGCCCGGTAACTGACTGCTGTCCCATCTAGAGCACATCCTGCCCTGCGCCCGCTGTCTGATAGCTGAGGATTCGTTTCACTACAGCCCTATAGTGGATTAAACGAGCGCATATTGCTGTGCAATTTATTATTGGGTTAATAATAATAATAATAATAATAATTGCTTACACTTATATAGCACTTTTCTGGACACTCCTCTCAAAGCGCTTTACAGGTAATGGGGACTCCCTTCCTCCACCACCAATGTGCAGCCCCACCTGGATGATGCAACGGCAGCCATAGTGCACCAGAACACTCACCACACATCAGCTATCAGTGGGGAGGAGAGCAGAGTAATAAAGCCAGTTCATAGAGGGGGATTATTAGGAGGCCATGATTGGTAAGGGAATGGGAAATTTGGCCAGGACACTGGGGTTACACCCCTACTCTTTTCGAGAAACGCCCTGGGATTTTTAATGACCACAGAGAGTCAGGACCTCGGTTTTACTTCTCATCAGAAGGACGGCGCCTGTTTTACAGTATAGTGTCCCCGTCACTACACTGGGGCATTAGGACCCACGTGAGCCACAGGGTGAGCGCCCCCTGCTGGCCCCACTAACACCTCTTCCAGCAGCAACCTTAGTTTTTCCCAGGAGGTCTCCCCTCCAGGTACTGACCAGGCTCACACCTTTTTAGCTTCAGTGGGTTCCAGTTGTGAGTTGCAGGGTGATATGGCTGCTGGCTTTCCCCACGATGGGGCGGGAGGGGGTGTAGGGCCTGGTTTACCTGTCCTTTATGGACAGCAAGTTGAGTGTTTTTTTCCATTTGGCCGAGAACTACAATTAACCCCGCCATAAAATAAAAGCCTCACAAGATAAGTTTCTGCCTGAAAAGGGGCGCATGCTTGAGCAGGCTGGAGGACAGGCCAAACGGGAAAAAAACACTCAACTTGCTGTCCATAAAGGACAGGTAAACCAGGCCCTACACGCCCTCCAGCCCCATCGCGGGGAAAGGCACAGCGATGGCGCTCTGGACTTGCGGGGAGCGAAAACGGCGGTTTCGATTTCTGCCAGAGGTCACAGCTTTCATGAGCCAGCGGATCAGAGACACGACCTGGCCTTGCGTCGGCCTCGGGAGACCCTCAGCGCAGATTAGCACGGTGCTCAGCTAGACAAACAGAGCCAGGGAGGAGGCTGAGGCATAGTAGGTGGTGTGACACACGCCGCAGGAGTGCAACACTGAGCAAACAGCGCAGCTCGCAGCAGTCTGGGGGGTCTGGACAGTGGCGATGAATACAGAGCAGGGATCAAGGGCAGCTGGGCCCTTCAGTGCCTACAGCAGATATACTGGCAGCCGAAGCCAGGAGCCTCTGAACAAACATTTCTTGCTCGACTCTTTGTACTGAGCAACACCGTGTCACCGTTGTACACAAACTGTGAACAAATCCACATGGTATCTTCTGTTTTGGTCTCTGTGATACATTTTGGTGAAAAGGGTCAAATCAGAACCACAGAAAAATCTGAAAAAAATCATCAGCCCTGTATTACAATGAAGAGATCAGATTCAAGTGTTTTCAAAAACCTGAAATTGATAAATAAACCTGTCTTCTATTATTTACCAACATGCTGTGTTTATACATAACTACAAATCTTACATGAAGTGTTGTAATCTATACTGTCCTCCCAGTAATCAGAAGGTTACATTATCTGTAGATATGCTGTAAGGTGTCCACTGTAGTGTCACAATCAGAAAGCCCTGCCCTGTATCTCCTAATCCCTTGAAAATAGGGTCATTCTGGGGTCATTCAAAGGTCACGGGCCAGGGGTCATCACAGGTTACAAAAGGGAATTATGAACTGTAGCAACGCCTTCTATACAAACTGCTATTTCCAACAGCACACACATTTCTAAACACCAGCATACGTATGGAAAATCAATACAGAAACTGAAGACACATCTTCAGACAGCAGATTCATTAACCAAATGCCTAGATGGGTGAAGCTGACCCTGAAGAACGCAGTGGACCAGGAAACTACTAGCAACCAAATTGGCATGATGGCTCATTTGTAATTGTTCTTTTGTACTAATTAATTACTTAAAAACCACTCAGATACAAGGATTATGGCAATCTGGCCGTAGACAGAGATCGAGTGGTACGGTTTTTGGGAGGATTAGAAAGAAGATACACATGAAGCTATAGCAGTCTAACTGAAACATCAATAGGCATGAAAGAAGCTCTTCAGGTGGGGAGCTGCGTCAACTTACGTAGGCTGCAAAGGAACAAGTAATAGGTTTATTCCATGCTGAAAAGAGAAGAAAGAAAAAACAATGTTTCGGCTGTGGAGCCTTCTTCAGGTGTGAGACGCTCACACCCAAACAAGGCTCCATAGCCGAAACGTTGTGTTTTCTTTCTTCTCTTTTCAGCATGGAATAAACCTATTACTTGTTCATAAAAGAAGCTTGTCTACATAGAACAGAAGCTTCACCCGATGTTATCAAATAAAGCAGAGAAAAGGCGAGATCCTTTGTTCTCTGGGGAAAGCAGAGTGTCTGTCTACGACTTGCCATAACCCAGTCTTACCTAAGACTTTTAAAATGCAACCCATTCCAACTATTCTATATTTAAATTAAAACATAATTAAAAACAGTACTAGACTCTTTAAGGTCATGGCTTGTAAATGTTCTTAAAAAATAAATGTAACAGATTTAAATTAGTGATTGCCAATGTGCTATAACAGAAGCAGAAGTCCTCCAATGCCGTTTTGTATGCAGACTCACTCGTTGTGTACTCAAGATCTCAGTGTTTTTAAACAGATAGGGAAAGTCTGCAACCTCCCCCAGCAATCTCACAGTCCCGGCCATGACCTTCCACCCAACAGCACAGAAAGGTTAAGAGGATAAAGAACTTCCAGGTCAGGGGGGATTAGCAGGAAATTGAGTTCTGAACCAGGGATCATCACCTTCCTTGGTAACTGTATCAGCTTCAACCCCGGTAGGCCCTGAAGCTCCCAGCTGTGGCTGCTACCCCAGACTTCCTGGACGCAGTACTCCTAACGTTACCCCTCTGCTGTCACGCAGTCCTGCGCCCTCAAGAGCACCAGGTAGCCAACTCTGACCACGTGGCACCAAAGAATCTTCTTGGTTCGTCGCCAGACCGAGCTCCTGGCCAACACTGTCGTTGCTTCCAGAGCTTTTGTCACTAACGACTGGAAAGCATCTAAACAACCTGCAGCTGTGCAGTGCAAGGTCTGCCCAATACAAGAATAAATTCACACATGCCACTGACACAAGGCTGGCTCTATGATTTCACCTGTGGTCTAAGCGAAGACATTATCAAGCAAACCTATCCTTCAAGCAGGTACAAAAAATCTGAAGTATTCTCTTATTGTAATTATAGTACTATAATCTTATTATAGCGCTGTTTTAAAATGAATACTAGAGTTTCAGAATTAAACTAAAAGCACAAGATATCTTATTACATCTATTAGAGTGGTTATACCTTAAGCACTGGATATCTCTGTATACCAAAGAACATTGCAATATCTGTATCAAGAGTACAGGAAATAATAGTAATGTGAAACTTGGGTGCTTTAGGGATCTCAGAAAATTAAAAAATTACAATCAAAGAAATTACCAAAAGTAATGGGCCATGAGCTGGAAATCCCAATTCAGTTTGGAAAACAAAACATGCAGAAATAACAAAACACAATGTGTCTCTGCTTAACAGATCAACCAATCAAAAATTTACAGACGATCATTATCTGGACGTCATTTTGGGAATGTGTGTCTTCGGTCTGAGAAATTACAGATAAACCAATGACACCCACAGCTGTACAGAACTTCACATTTGAAACTAAATAAATGAAAACGCGCCAAAACAGAACAGCAGTCCAGCTCTGCACATGAAGGCGGCGCCGCCGAGCGTACCTGCAGACACTGAAGCACAAGGCTCCGGCTGCCATCGCGCCCAGCAGGCCGGCCAGCACGTTCACGCTGTAGGCTGGGGAGCCCAGGGGCAGCAGGTCCAGGGCCAGGCGAGACAGCAGGGTGAACACGGGGTACCCGGGAGGGTGGGCCACCTGGAGGGGCAGGGGAGGACTCCCGTCAGGGCTGGGCACGCCGAGGAGCGCCGCAGCCCAGGCTCCGAAACCGCAATTTCAACACGAGGCTGAGCGGGAAGGGGAAAAGAACAGGAGCAGAAGGAAACGGCCAGCCAGAGAAACAGGAGGAGGAGAGCGCTGTGGAAAGCTGAGATCCCGAAAGCAGGAGAGGAAAGACAGACTGGAGAGTGCTACTTAATTAAACGTCTGTACTCTTAATTAGGGTTCCTTATTGAAAGCTGCGTGTTTATTTCTAAAGGGGTGTCCCTAGTGAGAGAAAGGGCTGTGCTGCGCTCCTACAGAGCTACCCTAACTCCACGGAAGAGCTCACCCTGCCCCCCACAGCAGCACGAGGCGTCTCCTTCCAAGGGTGACCTGCCAGTCCAACACGCCCGGCGCTTCTCAGCGCCAGCTCCACACTGCTAACCTGCTGCAAGCCGACAGCGCTGCCTCTAGGGACACGCACAATCTGAGCAATTAGCCTAAGTCTCATAAAGACTGATAAGACAGAGTTATTAACGACAAACTCATCCCCATCGCTGATTAAGTCTCTTCAATCTTAGTCTGTGGGTCTCTGGGAGAATTGACTCAAATGAAGGCTGTGCACTTGACACCAGTTCAGCGTGCAAGCCTTCTGTCACCCTCCAGGAAAACTGAACCAGCTTTGTGGGAAAAGCGTGGGGAGAAGTTGAGGGTGGAGGGGCAGATGGGGCGAAGACAGGCACAGGTAGGCAGAACTGATCCGGGAGGCAGGGAGAAGCAAGCAGGAAAGAGCGTGAGAGGAAGAGAAGGGTGGAAGCAGCAGGCAGAGACCCAGGCGGAGAGAGCAGCAGCTGACGGAGCTGCGGACGAGCTGGCAGGGAGGAGACGGGCAGAGGCACCAGCCGCAGGAGAAAAAGGTGGCCGCAGAGGGAAGCAGGGCCGGGGGATGACAAGAGACGGGGACGGGGAGATGCAGACGCACAACAGCGCGCGGGAGGGCGAGGCACAGCAGAGGCCGACCAGCAGCAGGGCCGGGAGCAAGGCAGAGGGGCCGTGGTACCGCAGGAGGGCCGGGCAGAGGGCAGCGGATCGCCCAGGGTCGTGAAAAGGAGCTGGGTGCAGAGGTGCGAGCTACAGGCACCCGGCACAGAGCGGCGGGGCAGAGGACAGGCCGAGGGCAGCGGCGCCGCGGCAGCAGCTCGTGGCGAACAGGCGGGCCACACGGACTGCGGCACTAACGGCAGGATTACTGGCATAGTGACACCGACACAGCCTCCCTAAAAGGATCACAGCGGCGTAATAAACTTTATTAAATAATAAAACTTATTAGAACTGTTAACCCGATTTAGTTCATTCTTCGCGGCTTACACACACACAAAAAAAAGAGGGGGGTATAATAAGCCTTATACCGTACATAAGGCAAAGCCTACAAAAGCCATCGCCTTACCATTGACTTTAATTGGATTTAAAAAACGGGTTGCAAATTATAGCATTCTGCACTTCTAACTTGGTAAAATAAGTGTATAGAAAAAAAACCTGTAGCCTGAAAGTAAATTAATCTGCTTTCTGCCCATGCTTAATTAAACTTCCTTAATGCTTATAAGAGTTAATGAGTGAATTGATTAAACAATACGGCTAATGCTCACCCCCAGCTCACAGGCAGCAGTGATCAGCTCTCCTGTGGAAAAAATAGAGAGCGAAATTAATGTAAACCCAATAATTACTATTAAGAGATGAGTCCCCTCCAAAGTTTTCCCAATCCAAATACTTGCACTGGGGTTTTGCATTAATTTGCCTGGATCAAAACCTGCAAATCTTCCCAGCGTGACATTTCCTAAGCGGCACGCTTGTTCCCTTCATCTCTCCCCGCTCCCCCGACCCTCCTCCCAGCGCCCGCCTTCCCCTTGCGTGCCCCCTCCGCAGCTGGTCGCCCTCCCCGCCGCCAAACACACACACACCCACCCACCCACCACCGAGAGGCAACAAAGCCCCTCTCTCCCCGCCTAGCAGTGTACCCCACCACGGCCCCGGCAGGCCTCCAGCCTCTCCCCGCGGCAGGAAGGACACAGGCGCCGATAGATACAGCGCTAAACACGCCGGGGCAAGGATAAGGCTCAGTAACCCAGGGGATAAGTCTGCAGTTTCTGCAGGGCTACAGCTCGGCAAGCCAACCCCCAGCTCTTTACCGTCTTCATTTCTCCATCCCTTTAACCTGCATCAAACATCATTCCTCGCTGAATTGGAGCCGCATGCTTAGTTTAAGCAGAGCCTCCCTTCCCCGTCTCCATGCTCAGATCCCCTAAGAAGCACTACACACTCTGATGCGCACAATATCTTGTCACTGCATTTAAAATACCCTCCATTTTAACACTAATAAGTGAAGAAAACTGCAGAAACGTTGCTGCTGGCAAGCACTGCCTCCCTGGTGCAGCATTTCAAACACTGAAGGGCCACAGATGCAGACACCCCTCATTAACTGTTTGAAACATTTAACTCAAACAGGCTGAAATGTCACTTAGCAGCAGCGTTCTGCCCTCTCCTGTTAACGACTTTTAAGATGGCATGAAAAAACCTGAATTTTTTTAAGTGTCTTTCTGCTTGACCTCTGATCCCCCCTAGAGCTAGGTCAACTGATCTTAGAGAAAGAAGGCACATTCGAACAGCACCAATTAATCACGTCCTTTCTACCTTGCAGACGTGCCTGCTCAAAACATCACGACAGGGCATCGACAGCTCTTCAGTCACTCTCTCTTTAATCGATTTCTCACCCAATCCTTTCCTTGGCATCTAAAAACAGTTTTACGTGTTACTAAGGACCATCTGCTGATGCACTAAGAAAGCAACTCATTCATGTGGCTAAACATGATGGAAATGATCTTTAAAAATCCAAAACCGGGGGTATCGCAGGAATGAGGAAATGTGGCAAAACGTGGAGTTTATGGGGAGGAAATCAGGAGCCAAGTATCTGTGTGATTCCAGGGCACAGCAGACAGTCTGTTCATAATCCTGCCATTTCCACACTCTCATTCCTAGACAACAGCCTCACTGTGAGCTGCACTGAGCCACTCGGGGGCAAATCACACCTAAAGAGATTAAAAATGTGAAATCGAGACCTGGAGAATTCAGAGGCGCACAAGACTGGCTCTATCAGAGCAGCATCCTTTACCATCCCTAAAGACTGTGAGATGGGCTGGATGGCGTTTCAAAGCCTCTCGCTCCAGTGCAACGGCGCTGCTCAGCTCCTACCAGGCAGTGCTTCAATACGGGCATTGTAGAAGGAGCAGTTCATCTGCATCCTGCCTGTGGGGAGGAAGCCAGCCCTTTCGCCAACATCTCCTACCAGGCCAAACCTCGGGGAAACTCACTGACAAGGGGCGCCAGCTGCTCCCTCAGTCCTCACCAACCTTTCTATCTGAAATCAGGTCTCATGTGCAGACTGTAACAGGGCCGCAGTGCTGTCGGTCTATATCCAGCCTGGAATTCTGTCTTTAGATGCACTGATGCTCGGGGGTTTGGAAGTCCCCACTTCTCCTCTCCAGATGAAACCCGGAAAAGTCCGTGCACGGCTCCAATTCATCATGACAAAATAAGTCATTAGAAATGATCCACTGTGAGCAAAGTCATACAGATACGGGAGGCTGGTGCAGGATGAATCAACAACTAGCTTCGACCCGAACCCGGGTTCGAGTGCCATCAATTAATTAAATTAATTAACCCAAAAGCTGAAGCCACAGGGCTAACTACCACGCCATCCACTGCGAATTAATGAAAATGGCCTTAATTTATGGGTCACCTCGACTTTGTACAATCAGTGGTTTAAAATCAAAAGCTTTATAATGAAGTAAAAATATCAGGTGCTTTAATGTAGTGTGGTGATAGGGGGGCACATGCACTGGATATGTTAAGAGCTCTGCAGCACCCCTGGGTGAACTGTCAGAGGGATTAGGCTTCTGGGGCTCCCACTGCACTGCTGTCCCTAATCACTTTCCCTACACATGATCACATTTCCAATTCTAATTCTGACGGCGGGAGAATCCGCTGACTCTTCACAAGTGCGACATGTCTTCTGAATAATGAGTGTATTAATTCACAACAGGCTCCGAGTGCTGCCCCTGTCACTTCATTGTCATTTTCACAACACTATCCCCCACAATAAAATATCTATTACCATAATCTTCACTTTTCTGTCACATGCATCTCCACTTTCGGCAAAGTTTCCTTCAGAGCGTCTCCGTAACACCTCTTGTATGCTAATCAAGGTTAAAATGCTGCATAAATGGCTTTAAGACACTAAGAAGATAACTGTGTTTTGCTAAATCTTGTTTGCATGTGCAATTCCTCCGTCATACGAGCACACCCACAGGAGCTGGGGCACAGGCCACATCCGAGATGAAGACAGAAAATGTTTTCAGATTACAATCCTGCTCCACTGGTCACAAATACAAATCCCCTACCGGCAACGAAGTGTCCACACAGTCAGCAGAAGGTTGCTCAGACCCTGATCCTGCACAGCCACTACATGGCCACTTTCAAGAGCACCCCCACAGCACCTTGGAAACGTGTCAGTGCTGGCCAGGAGAGATCTATAATTGAGTCCATGCATTTATTACAGGTTTGGAAAATCACAAACAGATCACACACAGTCCCTCTCCAGGGCTAAGGCTGGCCAACACTGGTTCCAGTGCATCCGACGGCCAGCAAACAACCTATTGCTGCTTTCTGAAGGCCCAGAGACCTGTCCTGAGGATCACAGAGGCCTGGTCAGCCCCAGCGGGGCAGCAGTGAGACGGGGGAGCTGTGAGACCCACTGTCTTCCCTTGCCTGTCTTTAATCTCTGTCCACCTCAGACAGCTTTACTCCAGCCTGGCTTCTGGCACACTGCAGGCTTTGGGGATTAGTTTGTAAATTGAGGGCTTTCAAATTTGTTAAAGTGGCAGCAAATACCAGATTAGCGAAATCAGCGTTAACAGGTGTGAAGCAGTTTGCAGCCAGGTACAATATCCATCGCTGGCAACATATGTTAAATAAGTACAGGGATTTTTTTTTTTTAAAGACAGAAATCTGGCCAGTCTATTGCATCAGCAAATATACAATTCAACCAAAGCTGGGTTTGATATGGAAAAGCTTTTTTCTTTGTGTTGACTTAAAAAAAAAGAGAGTTTCTGTTTCAGGAAACCAAAATAACTTTTAATTTGAAAACAACAGATGCAAAACATAAGATGTTCACTATCCTTTTCATGGAAAAACACCCCTAAGCTCCTAACTCAGGATCCTCATCTTTGTGTAAATCTAGTGGTGACCCCAGAATCCTAATGCTGTACCTCTCCTGGCAACGTTCTGTAGGACAGTGCTTGGAAACAGGGGGCAATAGTCACAGACTCTCAACTCATCTGAACTTTTCACCGTCCATTATGAGGAAACCTAATTCCCGATGAGGGTCGTGACAACCTGAAGTCAACTCAAGACGCTTATCCCCCACCCCACTAATTAACCTAGCGAGTCTGCCATCAGGAGGGGGGAGGACACTGGAGCACCTGGACTAATCCCTCCAAAACACAGTGGAGAACATGCAGACTCCCTACAGAAGGTGCTCCAGTCTGGAACTGAACGTAAGTTATGAGTGCTGTGAGGCAACTGCGCAAACCAGCCCTCCACAGTGACAGCACCAACTGAAATCATTCCACTCAAAACAATTCAAGAATAAAAGGTGCTGCAATGGACATTTCTGCACTGCAGGTTTCCATCTTGTTTGCTAGCAGGCTCTGGTAGCCCAGGACGTCCAATTTAAGTGCTCTGACGAAAAAGCAGTGCACATGGAGATGAGCTACCTCGTAGCTAAACACCTACTTGTCAGCAACACTAACAGCACAGTTGCTATGGTTGAGTATCAAAACATGACTAAGTGCGTTTCAGTTCCTCTGTACCGTTTGAAGACCTTACGGGCTACACTAAAAGTAACGTCAAATTGAAGGGGAATTCATTTGAATTTACAAAGGGGCATGTTTATATAGATATAGGATCAAAACGAACGCTTGTTCCAGAAAAGAAATGAAAGAGGTGTTCACTTTCATTTTCACATCAATCAAATGTTAGTATGAACTGAACTGTGAACGTCGGATTAACTCTGACTTCTGTTCCAATGAAATTCAGGGCCTTAACATATTAAAACGCGTTAAATTAACCGGGACTATTCCACAGTCGAGTAGTAAACGACACGGTACACGTCGATCATCATGATGAAGCAGGTAACACCTGTGCCCCACTACTGTGTACAGAAACGACACACATTCACACGAGCTAAAACATTCAGCATATTTACGAAAGTAACTTTTCAACTCAAAGAAACCAGAAGCTTGCAATATATGTAATTTGAAAGGGGTATTTGTGGGTATGTTTCTATTGACTAAAACGCCATATCAGAGTGAAAGGAACGCAAGGGAGAGACGCCCGTTGCTCGGGGGACGAGGGTACAAGTGTATCTACACAGTAGACAGGTATCAGGCTGCCGTTCAATCAATATTGAAGGTGAAACACGTCAAAGACAAAGCAGCGTTTATCCTCTCCGACTGCTACTCACTCTACCTGAGTCTCCGCCCGGGACTGTCCGTTGCACTCTAGGCAGGTACACGGCCGCCACGCCGGCGGCTGTAGCGCCGCTCAGCAGCCAGCTACCCCAGGACACCGGCCCGCCCGGCCGCGGTGCCGACATGTCGCTGGAGCCCGCTGAGACGTGTTACCGCCGGGCTGGTATATATGACTACAGACTGTCCGGTCTTTAAACCGCAGGGAACAGATCGCATAACCCCGCTGACCGCTCCGATAAACAGCCGCTGCGTTTTCCGGAATCAGGTATAATATTGGGGTGCGTTATCTGCCAGCATGAACACTACTCGACCCACAGAAGCTACCACTTAATAAAAATTCCAGTCCCAGGCTAGCAGGAGAACCAGTTAAACCAGATCAGTCTTTTTCTTTGTCAGGGAGAATCTCCAGCCACAGAACGAGTAAGGTCTCTGGCGCTGTATTTTTTTTTAGCATGCGAAGAGCACTTGCGTACATCGCCTTTTCGGACGATTACGTTTAGTTTTCCTCTAAAAAGAAAAAAAAAAACCTTGCGTGCAATACAATATTAATTTAAAAACCGCCCGAGTAGACCGCTAGTTTTCGGCTCCATGTGTTTGCAAACAAGCTTCGTTTTGGTCCTCTTCCTTGTCTATACCATCTGAGCTTCCGTAGTGGGGGGGGAGCTTTGTTAAGGTACACATCGTTTATTAAAGTAAATAAGCACACTGAAACACATGCGTATACTGTATTTAAATCTCAATACACAAACATGAAAACACACTTAGTTCTTTTAATGTCCGCTTCACTTAACTGAGTAGCGATTTTCACCTGTGATCACCGTCTACCCTGCCTGTTGGCTCCATGGTACAACCGACAGTTTTGAAAGAGGGTCCCGCCAGTGTGTACGAGGTGTTGCTCCGACTCGCGGGCGCCTCCTGTCGGCAAGCGGTGGGGGTTCAGCCGGCTGTGAACCGGTCACGGAGCTGTATTGGCTATCGAGGATCGTGATTTTATTGTTGTTGTTTTTTGCGAAGCGACCACTGGTTTAAAGTGACAAATCTAACAACATGCGAAGGGAGGCTCGTCGTTTTGATGAAGCCCAACAATGAAAGAAAGATAATTAATGTTTCATTTTTAACCGGAATTAAAAACGGAAACACACTAAGACCATATATTTCGCACTTTTCTTATTAATGGAGCTATGCCGGCCGATTAGCCTATCTTTGTTTTCTCTTATTATCGTTTTCTGGTAGGCTAATCGGCCGGCATAGCTCCATTTATAATAAAGTAAACAGGTTTAAAGTTTCGTTTCTTCTTGTTGGCCCGCTTGGTAAATAAGACCAAGTTCCTGGATTGTGCACAGTTCTTGAGTGGTTTAAAATCTCTCACGCTACTTTCTAAGCTAGGACAGGACAGAGCAACCAGGTAAACAAGGTTATTGAACCGAGATTGGCTCATTCTCCCCTGGAAGAAAAGGACAGAAAATCTCAGAATCGCAGTGAAGCTTTTCCTGAGATAAAGATGTTTATGTCACTTGTTGGTAAAAGGCATGCCCTGGTAAATACCGCAACCATTCTTAAACTCAAGGTATTACAAAACGAGGTTAAAGCCCTTTGTGAAATCCAGACAATGGCAAACTACAGGTTTACTGTCGGTTCTTTACTTGAGCTACGCAAAATGCTTTTAAAATATTGACAAACCATGTAAACCTTAATTCAAACACAGGAAAGCGAAAAGTTTTAAAGCCTTTGAAAACTGTTGTGGTCGTTTAAAATCTTAGGAGCTGCTGTACTCGTTAGTTTTGTATGAACTGGGCGTCGTCTCCTGGCCTTATTAACAAAAGCCCCAGTTAAACCAGGATCTGCTTTCACGGCGGGGTCAGGGTGGAAGAAACCGATTTATAGTGGTTTGCGACACACTATCACAAACCTCCCTGCCCTTTTTACACACATGCCTGTCGCGAAGTGTGCGTCGGGATCGGTAATTTGTAAGTAAAAAATCTTACAGAAGTGTGAGAAAGAATTAAAAAAAAAGTTAAACAGGTGACATGAGACTGTAAAAGCCTCAATAACAGTTGAGCTCGCTGTTTCGCGAATAAGATAGTTTTGTCAAAGGCCGTTGCCTCGGTTGTTTTCGGACCAGGTGCAGCAGGGGGCGCCAGAGTGCTGCAGCCCCAAGACAGGGCTCCCTCCTCAGCTCAGTGAAGTCGTCGAGGCACTTGGCACCTTTGCCTCGTACAGTGAGAGAGCGACCTCTGCTGGTGAGTGGCTGTCACTCAATCCTCTTTGTATACCCGAGGCGCAGTAAGGACGGGGAGCATTGTTTAATGTGTCTGTGTCGAGTATTTTTTACTTCAGGCCACTATCCTCGCCAGCTGAACCAGACTGAAAATGGATGACTGGATATTTACTTCAGGCAAGTGAACACTTTGCAGTTCTCTTTAACTTCAACAGCAAAAGAACAAGCCTCCTAAACTGGAATAATGTACTTCTGCAATATTTAGGCTTTGCCAAGATTAATATTACTGATGACATCAAGGACAGGCCCTGTCATACTGGTTAGGTTCACTAAGACACGACAAATAGAAGTCAGGACTTGCAAATGTGGAAAGAAGACTGACTGCACATAGTCACAAATCTATTAATAGTTCAGATGCTTTCTTGTTACTTTAAGATACACATAACCCATTTTCGGTGGTGAGAGTATCTCTCATTTTCTCATTTTACTGATGTTGACACAAAGTGAATAGTTTGGGTTTTTTTAAAGCTTTTCCCGAACTAGCTCCTCCACTCTTTGTCCATGTGTAACTAACCTCATGAATGAGTCCCTGAGATGTGGTCTTGGAGGTTTAAGGTCTGAAGCAAAAAACAAAACACCGGATTCTCACTTTCCCAACAGCTTTTTCTCACAAAAGTCTGGAACAGATATTGCATTACGAGGAAACACGGCACTGACCCCCACACCCTGGTCCTCTGTACTCAGCCCTTGTGGACGGAGAGCCCAGCGTGTGACCAATCCAGACAGCCATCAGAAGGCATGTACTCACTAGCACTAGTGCAAAACAGAGTAAAAAGGGAGGCCATTCGTCCTGTCTAGATTCTGTGATATTTTGTCTCTTGTGCAAACAAGGCCCAGATGTGATGGACATCAGTTCATCTTGCCCACCTGGCTCTCAGTTTCCTGGTATACCAAGAGGTCCACTGCCAGTCTTCTTGAAAGCTACCAGTGGCTCAGCCTCCACAACCCTCTTTGACAGGTTTCTACAAGTGCAATCACTTTGTACAAATGTAAAGCATTCCTCTATCAAATATCTCAATAGTGCACATCATAAATGTGGTCTATAATATTTAGATATTTTTTCCCATTTTGGATTTGAATTCTTGTCAACTTGCTCACAAAAGCTACTGACATACTTCTGCTTCCTGATAACGACCCACAGTCGTTCCTCAACGTTCCAGTTTAATCAGTCAGTGCTCTGGTCTTAGTAGGTCAAAGCTATAGACCCTTTTATAGGCTGCAAAATACCAGAAAAATTATGATTGTAGTTTTTCTGCCACTCTTACTGTATACCCACTCTGAGCAGGAGACGAGTGAGCTGTTGTCTTCTTTCGGTAATTCTTCATACTCTTTGGAAAATTCCTGATTTTTTTTTGTATTGAAACTGACTTATCCCAGCATAAGCCTGGGGTGTGATCCTGACCGATCCCAATCCAGCCCAGCTCTCATAGATGCCCTGATCACACGCTCCTGGAGGGGCTCGGCGGCAGACAAGGGGTCCACAGTGAGTCCCCTCTGTGTCCACGCCTCACGTCTGCCCTTTAAACGGTGCTGCAACCATGGTGTATAATTGCAAAAGCTCTAGGGCTCGCAGGGCGATCACTAGATAAAGGATGAGCTCAAGAATGCAGTTTAAAACCCCTTCCGTGTTCAAATGTTACTCAAGGGATTGATTCCAAAGAAAACAGATCTGCACATCTCATGTCGGTCGTAAAGTGACCAAACCACTCACAAAAGACAAAAGAACCCCAGTCAAAACCAGCATCCGGTGGTGCAGTGATTGGAGTTCTGGACTCGCCACCTCGAAGTTTGTGGGTTCGAATTGCAGGTGAGGAATGGGGTACCTTGGTGGAGTGGCTCCGGTGAAGATACCCAGCTATGCTAATGGAAGTTGCTCTGGATAATAGTGTCAAAAAACGTAGTAATTATATTTTAGTATTTCACTAAAATACAGTTTCCAGGAATGAACATCTATAAAGCTCTTGGGTCTGAGTAGCAAAACTGGGAGTTTTTTGGGGGGAAAAAAGAGAAGGAAAAGATAAAGAGCCAATCGCTCCTCTTTGTGATCAGGAACGTAGGAAAGGGACTGTATGTGCTCAGGCAGTTTATGCCAGAAACAAGTGGAACTACTGGAAGTAGCAGTGGAGTTGCTACCAGGAAAGATAGGTGATGTTAGGGTGAGATGGGGGTTGTGTCACCATATCAGAACTCAGAAATGGGCTCTTAATCCCTCCCCTGCCCGTCTAATCAGTCTTAGCGCTCCCCCCCGCCTCCCTGTGCAGCCCTCTGTGCGCGCCGTGATGTCACTGTTAATCCCCCTGCCTGGTTATCAGGCAGGCTGCAGTGCTGGCAGGAGGGGGGGGGGGCAGTGGACTGGAGAGCCCATCGCTCAGCCACGCTGCACCAGGAGTGGTGTGCCAGACAGCCCGCTTCACTCCTGCTGCAAAACCAGCACAGTCCTGCAAGCCGCTCAGGGCAGGTGGGTGACCTTGAGCAGGAGCTCGGAAACGAATGCAGTCGCGGACGGCACTATTCAAGAAGGACGTCTCTCTGTGGTTTTGTTGAGTTCTATCCAAAACTGCACACCATAACTTGCAAACCTGGGTTCCACAGCGTTGCTCAGGCTGCTCTGCAGCGTCTCTTCATAGGGCAGCCCTGCTGAGTGGTCCAGAGGCTTTGATCAGCTCTGCCTTGCAACCCTGGTTGATTTTTGCAAATGTCCTCTTTC